TTTTTTTTAATCTTAACTCAAAACAGGAACTGCCACCTTTTTATATCAGCCAAACTAAACTTCATATTGGACGCCAACCTGCAGAGCAAGAATTAATGTTGTATAATGCACTGGCTGTGCTGTTAAAAACACACCTCATTATGCGGTAGCCCCGCAGCGCTAAAGATGGGGATCTTCTGTCCACGGGCGATGCTGTTCATGCCGTCAATAGCAGAGATGCCAGTCTGGATCATTTCCTCAGGGTAGATACGACACTGAGGGTTGATGGGCTGACCTAAGAAGAGTCAAAAAGAGTACAGTGATCTCACCTGAGCAGGAAAAAAATCTGGTACAAACTAAAGTACAACTTCTATTTCTAAAGAAGGAAAAGAGGGCTGATGGGGGGAAAAAAAAGATTTTCTTTAGGCTAAATTCTAAATTCTAATTCTCATTAAAGCATATAAATGTGCTACACACTATTTGGTGTGGTGTGACCTTGAGGCCTGATCAACCTTTTATTACACCCCCCCTTATCCACTCGGCTCATTCAAACGTTGCCCTGAATCGCCATTGTATACCTTTGATAGCTGAAAAGATCACCTTTGCCATTTCAGCTTAGCAGAGATCAGGGTCATGAGGTCAGTAAATGGCTTAAAAAGCACACAAAAATTCCCATTCAACCTCTCAAAATATTCAAATATCAACAAGGAGGTATTTTAAGCATTTATGAACATATTGTGGCATGCTGGCCTCTCAACTAAGCTGCAGACAAACTGAGTGCACACCACACAAACAAAAACAAAGTACATTTAACATGGCTGGTGGCAGCCTAATTGGGCAAAGATGTGCTGCTAAAATTTAAAATAATTTTTATCTCAAACAGACCCAAAATCTAGAGTTAATAAAATCACAGAATTGCACAGTCATCTACAGTATGTGCCTCTCAAAAAGACACTTGTTCCTGCAAATGTTACATAAAGCTTTAAAAAAAAAAAAAAGAAATCTCTTACCCATGATGTCCAAATAGTCCTCAGCCAGAACAGTAGGACCCCGGTCAATGGGTTTACCTGACCCGTTGAAAACGCGTCCTGAAATAAAATGACAAGTTTTTCATGACGTCCATATTGGTTATGTAGAAGACACATTAAGACTATCATTACATAGGCTGCATGAGCATTAGTTATAGGCTTACCAAGCATGTCCTCAGACACAGGTGTGCGCAAGATGTCAC